CACCCGAAAATTAGCCCCCCCAGCCCCCGCTCCACCAATCACAACCCCTCGCTTAGCCCAAACCCCACAAAAGGTCACAAAACAACATCCATATCTCGAAATAAGACAGCGACCATCACCAAAAACTGGGATTAAACCTGCCCGCCTGGCCCAGTCATTTAGTGTGTGTCTCCCAAATACACCAATTCCCACAAGCGCCACCACCACAGCTGTTTCGTCCCGTTAAGCTTAGACGCGCCCTGGTCAAGCGTCAGACCGCTCGGCTGTATGTAAATGTAAGTTCTCCCTTAATCTATAAAAAATACTTATACCAATTCTTGATAGAAATAAAAAGATTATAGTATATCTTTTTTTTCCCTTTTTTTTAGGTTAGATGTTTCTTTTTTGGATTTTTCAAAGAATTCACCATAGTACTCGGCTATCTCTTCAGGCCTCCCGTCGACGGCGCTAGGAGTCTACAGGTTTTCTCTTTTTTTCTGGTACCTTTCTTTTACCTTCCTTCTTTCCATCCTAAATGATGCGTTTCTCCTAAGGGCCCCCCTAGCTGCTCTGGAGTACTATGGAGGAAGAGATCATCTAAATTAATTGTTTACAGTTTGATTGCTCAAACATACACATAAAATAGCGAGAGCGCAAAACTCGAGGATGTATGTAGCTAACTGTGCTTCCCTCCGGCCAAGCAGTATGTGATTGCGTTTGCTTCACACAGCGGAGGAAAGACATCAATAATACCGAAACGCTATTCTTAAAAATCTTCTCATACTAAAAGAGTATCTAGAAATGAATGACTAATATCATGATTCCCATATAGAAGAATCTACAAAAAGCCTACCACTCTACAAAGAAGAGATAGAGCTTGCCTGTTTATTACTGGTGCTCATTTCCATCAAATATTCAAGTGGCAAGAAATTCCGTTTCCCTATCTGTGTATTCGAATGCCGCCGCTGACATGAAAGAACAAGATAAATTCTGAATCTCAAAAGCCATCTCCATCATGCCACTCCCTACCAGCCTCCACAGCTCTACTAGTCGCCAAATCCCCATGTACCTTCGCCTCCTCGAACCTCTGTTCACACCAATCTTTCAACTCTTGAATCACTGCTTCTAGCTGCAAATCCATCCCCACCTCTGGTTCTTCCATCGCTTTCCTCTCCTCCTCCCCAGCCTTTTCAAACCCCTCTTTCCTCTCCCTCCACGCATCCAACTCCTCCTCTAATCGTCTCTTCTCCTCCCACTTCTCCCGGAACCCCTCATACTCCTTCTTTCCTCCAAAACAAACCCCAAATCCATCACAATAACAGACATGCTCGGTCACGCATAAAACGTGTCGTCCGGTGAAGATAAACTGCCAAACGTACTCCCACACCCTTCCGCTCATGTAATCACTCAGAGGAGTGCGTAGGAGCCAGTCGCGGAAGAAAACGTAGCGAGCTAGTGGCAGGGCGCGGATGCGATGCGCGGAAAGAGCGAACTGGGCACAGCAGGGCTGGGCAAGCGTGGGGGGGATGCGGTCCATGGGGAAGAGTTGGGTCCAGATTGGGGCGAGAAGGGGTTCTTCTTGTTTGTTTGGGTCTTCTTCGATGGTGCCTGAAGAAGGATTAGTATGTATGGCTTGTTGGGTTTTCACAGGATGGTAACAAATGGGGATTTGTGACAGAGGAGACGTTGGGGTTTATGGGCTGTGCAAAACTGCGGATGAGGTTTTGATTCAAGATGAGGGAATTTGCTACCTGGATGCATCCATGAAGGACAGCCGGGTTCCCAATGACACCTCAAGTTCATGTACCCTTCTCTCTGTACTCTCTCTGCCGAGAGGCGGGATATCATTAGCACCGCGTCATTCTCAAGAAAATCATTGTTATGCCATGCAAAACGATGGGAATGCAGAAAGATATTGACATCCGAAAGATTGTGGTACTGCTCAACAATGAAACTCAGATACGCCAATACCTCATGGCCCTTATTCCTCGGGGTATGGAGGTCAGCGGTAGGATCATCGACGACGTAGATCGCTGCGTTGATGTTTGGGTCTTGGCCGAAGTTGGAGAATATCCAAGATACGTCGTCGTCTTTGGTTTTGGGGACGATGATCGTCTTATTGTAGGTTTTTCCGAGAGGGCGGAGCGGTCCTGGTTTGTATTCGGTTGTGGGTGTTGGTTCCCAGTCTGGGGTTTGAGAACTGATTTCGGAGAGAAGAGTGGTGGTTTCCTCTAAGTTTAGTTCGTTGGGTATTGGGGGAGATAGAGATTGGAGGTCTTCGTTGAGAATCCCGAAATAATGATCGATGGACCATATCGAGAGGCTGATACAGAGGAACGATATTGCGGAAATCCATTTCTTGGGTATGGGCATGTCTAAAGCGAGGCGAAGAGAGTGTTGATGTGTTGGGATTTCATTGGCCCTTCTCACTGACAAGTTCAACAAGCTGCGTCCACCACAGTTTCTGGGAGCAAGCAAAGCAAAGCAAAATCGAGAGGGCAGAAAGTGCTGTGATGGGAGCAATGTATTTAACGTGGTAAAGTTGTTAGCAAACCAAAATACTGAGATATACCGGTTCGCACCTTCCTTCAACCTGCAGTTCTTTCCAATTTCATCCCCGAAATCCCAACTCACAAACGGCGTGTCCATTTATCTCACATAAACCATTTGAATACCCCGTCACTCAAAAAAGGTTAAGATCAGAATGAAAACTCTACCAGTCCCCAAAAGAAACAATGCCAACTCACCAACCAGTAACACAAATAGGTACTTCCAACCTCAGTGAAGAGCCCCCTTCCACGTCTTTCCACTAACCCCATTATCTCAAACCAAGACAATAGTATACCATCTCCCTAGTGACACAAAATACTATCATATCTTTCATCATCATCATCTAAGAAAAAAGGTCTCTCAACAGAAAACAGGGTTTGTTTACTTTTTGTTTCGTCGGTAATATAGCCGAATACAACAAGTTGACTCTGACTAGGAACTTCAAGTACGAAACCAGGTGTTTATAACGGAGTCTACGGAAGGAACAATCACCATGGTTGTGGTGTTACGACGAAGTATTTGGGTATCGATGTTGACTCTTCAAAGAGAAGGAGCGATTAGCGAGGTGGAGCGGGTGGTCCTGACACATGAGCAGGCCAGATGGAAATATCGGCAAATCTACGCTGCTGGGGAATAGCACTTACCTAATTGCCTAATCTTTTCCTATTTTGGTTCGATTCATTCATGAATACTTATCAGGAGTCATTTTCCAGAACCTCCTTCATAACAGAAAAAACACCATCTCATCAACAAAAAGCGCCGTAGATGCCAAGATGATTCCCACACGGACAACATCCATAAAGTACCATAGAATACCGCGCAAGAATCTAAATCCCTTCCTTTTCCATACATGTATCCTACAGTACATACCTACAAAAGTACGTCCTCCATTTCCGAAACCCCATCATGTCTCCCTATGGCACAATCATCACACCATTGAAAGCCCCCCAAAGAAAGAAAAGAGAAACCACCTTCTAAACACCAAACTCCTCCCCACCTGTAATTCCAGATTTATCTGCCTCCCGTCCCGTATAACCTCACTAAACCTCACTAAACCTCCAAACAAAGCCGTCAATACTGCAGTACAACTCCCTCTCCCAACTCCACACATCCAACACATAACAGACAGAAGAAAACAGACCCGAATAAAATAGACAAACTTTCCCCAAAGCTAATCTCACCTATACATATAATATATTTCCATCTCAAGGTCAACGTCAAGGTACTACGTTGTATAGTACAGTACATGCCCACGTGTTTACGTACAGTATATGTAAAGTTTTACTTCTACTATACGTTCGATCGCGCTACAAAACTCTATAAACCGCTAGAGTGGGTAGACTGAACTGGAACTCAAGGGGCATGTTTGTAGTCAAGAATAAGCCAGCGGCGTGTGTCCTTCGGGACTGGGTACTGTAACTTAATGGGGCGCAATATACTGTAACACTTTATCCATACATTTCTCTGCTGGAAAACCCGTAAAAGCCATATAAATAAAGTAAAAGTCAACCCCATACTCTACAGTACCTAGGTACCGGTAAAGTACATGCCCACGTGTTTACGTACATGTAGGGTAAGGTTTTACGCTCGATCGGGCTACAAAAAAATATATCTAGATGGAGTAAAGTTAAACCCATGAATTCTAATGAATGGATTAGATCACTGTACATTGTATTACATCACTGTATGTATAATGATGTAACGAAAGGTATGTATGTACTACTATATGGAGAAGAGAGGAGAGAAGAGAAGGGAGTGGGAGGATTAGACCTAGAGTTTAATGTACATTGTAAACTCTAATAGGCCAGCGGCATGTGTCCTTCGGGACTGGGTAACTCGGTGGAGCACAATATGACACTTTATCCATACATTCTCTAGGGAAAAGAGAAGAGAAAAGAGAAAAGAGAAAAGATTAATATAGCACTATACTCCTGGTACTTTAAAACTCATCATCCTCGTAAGAAGAAGTATAATAGAGTATTATAGGTAAGTAGTGGGGGGGAATCGAGAAGGAATTGTTTGGTGAAGGGGGTAATTATCTAGCTAAACAATACCGAGTAATCACTTATTCTCTCCCAGGGAGACAAACCTAGTGTCTTATACAGAACAGATTCTATTCCATCTCAATATCCCGCATTACCCTTAGGAAGGAGGAGGAGCTAGTAAGAATAAAGAATCTCAACAAGAGGTACGAGTAGTACTACCCGAAGTTCCAACGTCAAAAGACTAGGTATCCATTTCGTCCCCGAGATCATGTACCGTTGTAAAATCTTAATGTGCTCCATGTACGATCTTACCGGTAGACAGACAGCCAGACCCAGGCACAGGGTGGCAGGTATCTACTCGGTACTGTAGTGCAGAGACCGTGATCTAATTGACTTTCGACTGCAAGATACACTTCGTCCATCCTCCCTGGTAAAAGAACTGTAACTTTCCTAGGGTAGCTAAGGTTGGCAACAGGATAAAAGTCCTTGAAAAGGTTACAAACATTTCGCCTGGGACGAAGGACGTCAAATACTACTACGTAATTGTAACCCTTTTCAGGGGTTTGTATCCTGTTGCTAACCTTATCCACCCAGCATAGGAAAGTTACAGTACAATTCTTTCGCCCGGGAGTCTGGGACGATGTATATCCTTGGATATGTGTACGCAGATCTTGCATCTATAGAAGTTTCTTTTTTATGGTCGTCCAATCGCAGAAAGCTAGGTTAGAGCCTCTGGTTTTTTGGGACCAAGGGCACTGGATGAATACTTTTCGTGGGACTGCGAGCTTAAGCGCTGACGGTACTGTATGAACATGAAATAACGCTTGGAAATGAGATGAGAGGAGGTGGAGTTTCCTCTACTTCCAAGAGAGAGAAAAAAGGTGGTGGACGTGTGTATATGTACAGTAAATTATGTGGATATTTACCCAGAAATGGTTTGGTTTCGTCTGATGATGAGGTCTGACATCAACGGACCGCAGCGCTTGGAGCAGCGTGTGGCCGCCTCCGCTGCCGATTCCACGCCCTATCCGCGATCAACATCCGAATAGGATGATCATTTTTATCGGAGTCCACATGAGAAGAGGTCAAAATTGGATTTCTTATTCACAAGTTCTGGGGTCGAGGTTGGATATTACCTCGAAGTATTATTGGAGCGTGAACCATACTGGGAAGTTCCATTCTAATAACATGGCTAGGGGAACAGGGTAGACCTTGGTTGCGGAGTTTGGCGATTGTATTTTTATCAAGATGGGAAAGGAAGGGAAAGAAAGTCGCGATCATCGCGGGGTTATTTTGAGTCTCCAAACGCAGATACTTATGTTGAGAATGAAAGTGCGTATCCATCATGATGGAACACACCGACTCGGTAGTTTGATTTGATGTCGATGAATGTTTTTCGCGTGATAAAGCGATTGGCGAATCTGGCGTGATCGACGGTGGATTTTGGGATCGGCGCGGCGTGGGTGAGACCACTGGATCTTTCCCGAAGAGAGCTCAAAGCTTCATGCTGGAAGTTGGAAGCAGGAGAGAAGCTCTCGGAAGAATTCGTACTTTTCCCGGGATACAAGCATGACAGGGTTGCTCACAGGGGCGTCTGCTGGGATTTGGATACGGGTATGAACGACATGCGGAGACGGAGACCTTTCATCTGAAGACTCGACGTGATTGTCCTGTCATCGCGACACAGGCACGAAAACCAGTAGCGACGTCGTACCGAGCACGAATTACAAGTACGAAGTACCACGAGGAACACAACATACTCGATGCTGCAGGTACTGGTACTTTAGTCTTTCCATTCAACTCCCGGTTGAAAGCAGGCCAGTGATCCACATTCTCAACTGCAGTGGACATGCGAAGGATTCTTCGAAAAAGAAAGCTTGAGTAGGGGCAGGCTGCAGGTGCAGAAAGACGTGGCAAAAGCATGGCTATCGTGCCAATGGGATCATCGGACCTGTCGCAACGTTGAATGAGTCCATTGTTCAATTTGATGCTTGCTTTTTGAGGGGTCTGAAACATACATCTCATGCAATCAGATGTCACGTTGGCTTCGTTGGCTTCGTTGGCTTCGTTGGCTTCATTGGCTTCATTGGCTTCATTATAACCACGAGTGGTCACCAGCCAGAGTTCTGTGGAGAAGAAGCACTTGTACCTGAGTGCAGCGAGTGCAGGTAAGGTACCAGTACCAGTACAGTACCAGTACCAGTACTAGTACCAGTACATCATCAGTACGGAGGCTAGTATGAAAGGTGCCTCGTACCTACGCACCTGCCTCAACTGACCAAAGAAACCCTTGTTTGTTCGCTCCTTCCCCAGGAACTAAAGTATATACTCGTACTTGCGACCAGTCTGGCCATACCTGATACGTAACTAGGTACTTAGGTACCAAGAACTCGAGGAAAAGAACAGAGTGATGTCGCTTCAAGTGAGCTATCGTCTTCCACCGGCACCTAGGTAATCTGGTATCGAAGTACAGTCAGTGCTGTACATACATTGCCGTGTTACTCGAGTGATTAATCCTAATTGACCACGATCGAAAAGAGATGGCGTTATCGGCGTGCATTGCCTTGAAGGCCTTCGACGACGAAAATCAACTGCACTACATCGCATCCGCATCCGCATCCACGCGAGGGCCGAAGTCAAAGTCGAAGGCGGTCGCAGCTGCCATTTCCATTTCCTTTCCATCTACATGTCCACGCCATGTCTTCTTTTCCCCTCGAGTAAAATTGCTCTTTGCGGGGTTCTTTCGTTTGCGGCAGACCGACATTACTTTTGTCCTTTCCTTCTTTTCTCTCCTCCTCATCCCCTTCGGTCGAGTCTCTTTTTCATGTATCAAACCCCTCTTCCTCCATCCTCTCCCCTCGCCCCTCCACCATCCAGCCTCTATACCAACCAAACCGTTGATACCCGTACTATCACCATCCGTGCCATCGATCGCTTCCCATGGAATAGTCCCTCATCAGATCCAGCTCTATTCACCAATCTGTTTTCGTCCAACTTAGACCAATCAATAGTCCTGCTAGCTCCCCCGAGCTGCACCGGGCCGTCTGAGCAGTATTAGCTGCTGGCAAATACGGCCAATCTCTAGCGAAATCAAGCACGGTCCTCGACTCCTATTGCCATCTGGAATTTCCAGGCTGGTGGATATGGCGGACCTCCCAATCCTTACCGGGGAGGTGCCAGAAAGCCCAGAGAAAAACACCCCGCCCACGTCCATGCGAACTCAACCCCCACCGCAAGGATATTCTCTGGTAAGTGCTGATCCATCCACTGCCCCGCTGCGTTTGTATAAGAAGATTTCGTTTGCCAGCTGCAAACAGTTCAGATCTTCCAAAGGACCCGGTGGTGCAGGAAAGGGGCTCCTAGTCTAATCTTGCTAAGCGAAGAGATTAACTCACGTATTACGGTATTCACCTTAGTTTCCTATGCCTTTGAACCTTGGCCTGAATCCTCCTGATCGACCTTTACCTTCAATACCAACACACATGGATAGCGACGCGGAGTCAAACTCGGGTGCTGCAGACATTGAAGACATCCCTCTTCATCGTAGACACACCCCACCTCCCTCCAAAAGACACCCCCTACTCCCGAAAATACGAGGACCGTCTCGAGATCCTGGAAGGCCTGAAGTCCATACATTAGTTGCTAAATCACCCGCGAGGAATATTTCACCCTCAGTGCATGTGCCAACGCGAATAAGGTCAGTGACGTTTGATATTATTGTTCTTACATTATGTAATACTAATTGGATTCCAGCAGCAGACATCCCCCTGAAAAAAGAGTCTTGGAACCCCTTTTGGAGCCCTTTGACGACGATTTCGAAGAATTGAGTGATATCGAGACGCAATCAACAAGGGAAAGGCAGAAGGAGAAGAACGAAAAGGAAAAGAAGAATAGAGACAGACACGAAGAAGATAATTTTGAACCAAAACCACCAGTAATGCCATTCAACGACCGCGCATCCACGATGGACTCCCGTCCCAGATCAAGAGCCCCATCTCGATCTGAATCCATTGGTTCCGGCCAGACCAATGCAACCTCTTTACCCTCTTTGGCTCCGTTGCAAGTCAAGACCGTTGTCGAAAATGATCAACTTGATCCACTGAATGACGATGAACTCGATCCTGGATCTTTTGATTTGGTAGCTCCCGCCGAAGGGGACGGCCAAAAATATTCTCTCGAAGTGAGATCAGAGCAACTGTTTTCCACTGAGCATCTACAGGTGATCTTTGCTGACCCGTCGCTTTTGCTCTCATTCACGGCCTTCATGAGCTCTCACCGATCTGCATCAGTCCCGATTTTAGTCTACTACTTGGACGCAATTAAGGCGCTGAAAGCCATCAAATACTCCAATGCAATCGCAGAAGCGTTGGATCCGATTCCGGGTTTTGACTTTACAGCTCAAGATAGCAGACCCACCGTCAATCCTGATCTGGAAGTAAAAGCTTTGCAGGCTTTTCAAGTTATGGTCCGAGAGGACTTGCCTGCCTACATCACACACACCTATATTCAAACGGTGAGCTTGTCAATTCAGAGAAGAATCACTGGAACTCTACCGACACATCTGCGAGAAGCATCAGAAGGACTTGCAGAGGTATTTTGTCTGACAGATCCCTCACGACCCGACAATCCTATTGTTTTTGCTTCAGAAGGTACATATTTCTATCACTCTACTTATACCCATTGCTCACAAATTGCTAGAATTCCATCGAACCACTCAATATGGCATGAGTTATGTTCTTGGTCGAAACTGTAGGTTCTTGCAAGGCCCAAAGACAAACCCACATAGCGTCAGAAGGTTGCATGAGGTTATCGACGCTGCGAAAGAACACTGTGAAGTTTTCCTAAACTAGTAAGGACCCACTTAAATGTGATATATAATGCTTGCTAATCATTCCTAGTCGACGAGATGGCTCGCCATTCATGAACCTATTGATGATGGCTCCATTGTGTGATAGCCGTGGCACAGTCCGATATTTCATCGGTGCTCAGGTTGATGTTTCGGGGCTGGTAAAGGAATGTGCTGATCTAGAATCACTGCGGCGTCTTGTTGATCAAGAAGCTGGTACAGGCCCCAACCAGTCACAGAATCTCGACAATGGTGACAACGAAAGCCAATCAAAGAACGAATTTCAGGAATTGAGTGAGATGTTGAACCTGCAAGAGTTAGACACAGTAAGAAAGTTTGGTGGGAGAATGCACAAGCAGGCTCCACACGAAGTTCAAGACACAAACTACAAGACCGGAAACTGGGCGAAGCCTCGACTGGTTATTAACAACAGTCCTAATAGCCCAGAAGGCCCACTCAGCCACGGAAGACAACAATCACTCGCCCGAGCTAGTGGGAAACTTCTTGGGATCTACGAAAACTATCTCCTCGTTCGACCCTATCCTAGTTTGCGCATTCTTTTTGCAAGTCCTAGCTTGAGGGTTCCAGGAATTCTACAAAGTCCATTCATGGCCAAGATTGGTGGGTCATCCCGGGTACGTGATGAATTGACCCAGGCCCTCGCAGATGGTCGTGGTGTTACTGCCAAAGTCCGATGGGTATCGAAGAATGATATGGAGGGTCGAAATCGCTGGATTCATTGCACTCCTCTGATAGGTGCTAATGGTGCTATTGGCGTTTGGATGGTTGTCATTGTCGATGATGAGACCTCCGCTCCTGCTTCGAGACGCTACAAGATGGCGCCACCAGTGGATCCAAAGTTTGGTCGAACTCACGCTCCTACTCAAGACTCAGGCAGTTTGAGAGACTTTGCTATTATGAACGGCGGTAACAGCCGGCAAGGAAGCCTACGAGGTGCAGAGAGTCTACGAAGTGTGGCGAGAACAGAAGAGCGGAGCGCGAGTCCTTACAGCTTGAGGATCGATTGACCACATGGTTGGGCAAAAAATCCCTAAGAGGTATTATTATTTATATATATAGGAGGGTGAGATGAGATGGAGTATGAGAAGAACATTGTGTGAAGGAGGGGAAAATGATGTGATTTGGGACATACCTTGCTACCTTGCGACAATTTTGTTGATTAGCTGGCTCTACATATTTGCAAGAGGATCTTGATTTCTGGGCGGTATGTATGGTATTTGATGAAAGCGGGATCGAGGCTTTTTGTTTTGCTACTGTACACCTAAATCTTCTTTTTCTTTTGTTGATTTGGTTGGGCCAAGATCTTTTTTGCTCTTACTTTGTTGGGTTGGTAAGATGAAAATGGGGTTGGGGTTGGTGTTCGTGGGAAGGGAGAAGGGCAGGAGGGGATGTGAAAAGAAAAGTGGAGAGCAGGAGGGGGGAGGGGGCTAGTTGGCTAATTGTAATCATTATACTTATCTAATTGATTTTGATCCTTCTTTGCCTATTCTTGGGTTTTGATATTTTTTGGAATCCCTCTTTGAACCT